GTGCCACGACCGACCAGAGAGAGACACGCGAGATACGTGACTGTCAAACAGATAAGGATGAAGGACCAAGGCACGAGAGGAGCCTCTACCAAACCGTGGAGGTGGATAGCAGAGACCTCTGCCCCGCAGGAGAGCAGGCGTCTGTCACAGACATGAGAGTCCGTTATATCCCCGCTGAGCCCGATGTACGGCCAGAGGTGCAGGTTCTCCCTCAGTCTTGCGAGCCTCAGACCATTGCATACTTGATTCGCGTGATCCAGAGTTTGAACGATCCTGAAGCTACCACCTATGAGATCGTCTGCCAGCAGCCCCATGACCTGGGGCAGCCCATCTACGTGAAGAAGTGCTATGTGTCACCCCAGCCGCCAGCAGTGCCGTGTGACAGGAGCAATCACCCAGAGCCAGAACCCCAAAGGGACGAGCAAGAAACAGGGGAGCCTGAACCACCGCAGCAAGGGGGCATGCCAGCTTCGAGCTCCCAGGAAAACACAGGGTCTTTCAACGAGCCACAGGAGAGGTCTGAAACAGGGGTGAAGGAAGTGGCTCACCAGGCTTCTGCCTCCGAGCCGGATGACCCTTGCCAGGCAAAGCCCAAGGAGGACAGAAGGGACAGCCAGCGCCCCAAGATGCCCGACGTGAAAGAGAAGGAGCCCCAGGGAGATGGATCAAAAGCTGCCAGGGAGCAGGTCCCGCGGGAGCCTGAATCCAGCTGCCAGGTGAGGGAGCATGAGGACAGGGAGGCCGAGAACTGCCCACCTCTGCCCCAGGCGCCGGAGCCACAGGAAGCCTCTGAGCCAGGCCGGCGAGCCGCTGAAGAGAGCTGTCCCCAGCCACCCCGGAGAGATCAAGCGAGCCGCTGCCATGAGGGTGCAGAGCTTCCCCCACCGGAGAAGAGCTGCCAGCCACGGCAGGAGGAGAACAGCAAGAGGAGCCCCCAGCAAGTGAGTGATGCCCAGCCTCAACGGGAGGAGGAACCACGTCTTTGCACCAAGCAGAGCCAGGGCCCCGCTGGCCCCCCGGTCCCACAGGAGGCACCGAGCCATCCTGCCAGGGATAAAGCCAAGGCATCTTAAGGGCAAGTCCCCTCCCTGGAGCTGGTGGGTCTTCTCCGAGTCTCTTTGAGGATCACTTCTGCTCCCTGCTTTCAGCTTAGGATGTTACCGTGTGGTGGCACAGAAGTGTTTGACAGAAAAGGGTTAATGGGGTGCTCTGTGAGGGTGTCAGGTGGGTTTGGGGTTTTTCCATCTAACAAATCCTCAGCAGCTAGCTAGGCAGAGAGTTACCCCAGGATCTGCAGCTTCTGCCTTCCCACATTATGTCTATCCACCTTAACGCCGTATTTAGTCACTTTTCTGCTCTAACTGGATTCCTTGGGTCTCTCTGTCCTTTATGTCCCTGTCATCTCTTCTACCCTGTGGCACGACTGTTCTGCATCTCACTGCACTCACGTCTCCCTGGCCCCGTGACTGCTCTCCTGTTACCTTCTGCTGTGCAATGCAAAAAAAAATTAAAATCCCAGTAGCTCAATCATACTCATTCTGGGGCCTGAAAATCCTCGAGGCTGGGAAAAAACCCACGCTTTTGTAGACTCGGTGCTTTTGGTTACACCTTTCTGCTCCCCTCACAGCTGAGCAGAATCCCAGCTCCACCTCACGGAGGCTTTGAAGCAGCTGAGTTATGCTGCGGTTACTGCAGGGTACTGGTGGCGGGTGGGGGGGTCTCTTTCTTCTTCACACTGATGTATTGCATGAAAAATCAGAATAAATAGCTGATGACTGCACAGACTGCTGCCATCCTTCATCCTTGCATTTAATTTCTACAAGGGCCTCAGCCTGGTGGGAGGGTGTCCCAGGTCAGATCACACCTTCCTCCTAATCCCAGGCACTTAATCCAGACAGGGGCTGCTGAAAATCCCACCAAATCCCCCCTACTACATGTCCAGGAGCCCACATACCTCTCAGACTCTGGCCCTCGCTACTGATCTGCGTGATTTCGGGGGCTCCCGTCACAGCCCGCCCATGCTGTGATCTGACACCCGAAGTGTGCAAAGCCACTGCTGGTTAAGAGCCATCCAGACACGCGTTTTCCTGCCCACAGGCATCCATCTGCCTTTTCCCCTGGGCTGCCCTGTACCTGGGACCACTCCTGGATCCTTGGGCAGGAGAGAGGCAGCAGCACGGCACGGAAAACGCCCCGGATCTCACACATGGTGCATGGCTGGAGATGGAGACATCCATGACCCTCCTTGGAGAAACCCAGATTTTATTCACTTTTCTTTCCCTTGAGCAAGAGAGAACCAATTCCCTCAGCAGCAGATGGGGCTGCAACGTTGCAAGAAGACAGAGAGAGAAGCGAGGACAACTCCAGCCCCATCTGCGGCTTGTTCTTAAATGCAACCAGAGCCCGCTGGCTGGTAACGGGGCTGGCCAGGAGGACCAGGGCCACCTCAGGTCCACCATAGCCTGATGCAGCCTCAGGGGGCAGCGCCCAGGGCTTCTCGCTCGCCCAGCCACAGCCACCACCCTGTGATGGTTTGAACCTGGTGCCAGAGGGACTCGGAAGGGTCTGTCCCAGCCAGGGGCAGGCGGATGCACGGCGCGATGCTCTCAGCGATGCCCCCTTGGCGCACGTGCCAGTCGCACGTCGTGGTGACAAACATACGGCGGCACAGATGGGCTGTCTGCAAACAGGGCCAAAGCCTCGACTGCAAACCCACGCAGCAGCAGCAAGAAACAGAAACCTCCTGAAATCCCGCGCTGCAGCCAGGCCACAGCCGCCCCTGGGATTTGCTTGTGCAAAGGGGGAGATAACACTTGCCCCTCTGACCAGCTCAGATCTTACTGTGCACAAAGAGGAGTTTGCAAAATGCAGGTGGAAGTGCAAAATCCAAGGAGAAGAGCAGCAGGTTTCCTGCCCTCAGCTCCCAGGTTTGGAAAATCCTTTTGATCTACGTGGACTGAGCTGTTTCCAGTTTGGGAGGGGCTGGAGGAGGGGGGGGCTGTACTTTTTCCCCAATACATGGGAAAAAAGGAGAGTTTAGGGCAGGAAATAAAGAAAGGAAAATACATTGGGGACAGCTGTCCCCCCGATTTGCTGCTTCCCTTTCTCCTGCTCTCTGCTGAGTCACAGTCTCCAGCCGGATTTCCCGAAGAGCCTCATCCCTGGAAGCTGTCCCAGATCCCAGAGCACATCCCGGCTCCCGCGCGCCGTGAGGGGAGCCAGCGTTACCCCGGCCTCTCCGCTCCAGGCCGCCCCCGAAGCTTTTGGGGAAACGCGGCAGCGCCCAGGGCTGGGAGTCACAGAGAAATCCTGCCCCGGGCAGAAGATTCTGCGTCAGTGCCGGTTGCGAAGGCGTGGAGACAGGCGCCGTAACCATGGGACGTCAGTGCAAACGTGGGTAAACACCACGTGTCCGAGCAGCTTCCCTGGCTCCCGATGGATGGGGAGCGGCCGGGCATTGCAGCCCCGTGTGCTGGGTTCTGCACGCCACCAGCCCCGCAGCCCCATCCTCCCTGCTCCGAGCTATCCGAGCACCTCACTTGCCTTTCTGGGTGCCTTCTGGGTGCCTTTTGGGTGCCTCCTCCACCTCCCCGTCTCCCTGTTCTCAGCCCTCCAGGGCCTCTCGCTCCGCAGCAGCACGAGGGTGGCCAGCCCCGGTGAGGAGCTCAGACCAGCACCGCTGGGGGCAAATCCTGGCTGCAGCCAGCTCCCAGCACAGCACCCCAGCCCTCCGGGGCTGCCTTCCCCCCTTTTACACCAGGGGAAGGGTACGGGGTGCTCTCAGCCAAGCTCAGCCGGTGGGGCCGCTCAGGGCTGCAGGGGCCGGGCAGCGGATGGCCCCGGGTGGGCAGCCCCAGCTGTGTCGGCAGGGGATCGCTGCTCCCCTGTGCCCCATCTGCCTTCGTCGGCCTCGTTAGAAAAGCTGGAAAAGCCCAAATCTCACCAAAGCAAGAGAAAATGCTGAGGGTGCTTTGGGCAGCAGCGAGGCGGCCGTGGGGGGGCTTAGCCCTGACCCTGGGGAAGAGACAAAGGGAGCCATAAAGGGCAGAGTGGGAAAGGACCGAGGGGTGAAAATGGATAAGAAGGAGAAAATGTGAGCGTAAACAACCATAAAGAATAAAACTCGGGAAGGAAAGGGACAGAGGGTCTAGAGGAGGGGCCCAGCGCATTCCTGAGCTGGGGACTGCAGGCACGTCCAGATCCGCCGTTAGAGCTGAGGATTGCCCAACGCGGCCCAAGGGGCTGAGTCAGGGCTGGGCGCTGGCTGCGCCGGGAAGGGCGGTGGCTGCGGGGCGAGGTTCATAACCACCCCGGCTCCGGCTTTGCCACAGCGCGCCACAGCCCCGCCGAGGACCGAGCCCCCTCCTTGCGCCCCCAGCCATGGTGAGCGAGCCGGGACCCCGGGACGGGGAGGGAGAGGTGACTCCGTAAGGGCAGGAGGGTGATGGCAGAAGAGCGTTTCCCGCAAGCGGCCCCAGAGCTGAAGGCGAGACGTGCGCTGGCACGGGAAAGAGCAGCCAGTGCCAAGAGCTGAGCTAAACGTCTGCCGGGGACGGGGCCTGGGCGCGGGGAGAGGGCGCAGAGCTAGAGAGGGAGCGCAAGAGGGTCCCTGCAGGGGCGGGGGACCAGGGGGTGGCGTTTGTGTCGTTCCCCCTCACCCCCTTCCCTCCCCTCCTTTTTCCCACCGATGCCGGTCCCCAGACTCGGGGCTGCAGCTCTGCCCACCGTCCCGTGCCCCCCAGCGCTAGGGCAGGGGGGTGCTGAGGACCCGCTGCCGAGGGAGGAAGCAGCTCAGCTCCTCTGGCATTAACCAAAAAAGGCTGAATCAGCAGGGCAGGATACGGCAGGGAGGCCCCAGGGTGCTGAGGTTGGCGAGGAAGGGTGGACTCCTCCCAGCCCTTCCCCAAAGACTGGAGCCGTGGGGAGGGGACAGAGCCCCACATCCCCCCATCTCCCTCACCCGGCCCTGGAGAAGCCCCCAGGCCGGCCCAGCTCCCTCCCCACCCCACGGCGGTACTTTGGGGAGCCAATTCTGCTCGCATTTTTTCCTGTCCTGACTCAGCTTCTCCCCTGTCCAGGGAGGGAAAGGGGGAGGCAGGCTTATCTGCCCAGAAAAGCTGCCCCAGCCAAGCCGTGCTGGAGAGCATGGAAAAAACCAGCCGTCGCTGTGGTTGCAGCGCAAGCTCTCCCCAGTCCGGGACGCTCCTCTGATGGGAGGGGACGGCTCCTAGGGGCATTTCCCATGAA